CAGTAAGATTTTGCCATATGCGTTTAACAACTTCTTCTGCTCTGCTGACTCTAGGTTGAAATCTTAATGGGCTTGTAACTGTGCACTGTGTTAGATAATGTTCCAGTGGTCTGTCGGGCATTTCTCCACAGTGTTGACATTTCCTCTCATCTTCCGGAACCTGTAAGCCTATTTCTCATGCACATAGGTATCCAAGCCTGATGCGATGTAAGTGCACTTCTGTTGCTCTACTGCTCCCTTTCATCAAACTAAGTGGTTCTCCACAACATAAGCTACATATTCCTATACCCATCTTAAGACTATGCTCTCCTTCACTCAACATACTCCCATCTATCTACACACACACAGGAATAACATATTCATCTTCTCTTCTCCTCCTCCTCCCTACATGACCGCATACCAACCACATACCTTCCAACCCCTACCCAACATGACACTCTCTCAAGTGATGCCTGGCCGGACGCCACGCGTCAGCCACGCGCCAAAACATCCGAGGAAGCTCCAGAAACCTTAGAGATGATGTACACATGCCCACATACTTATCCTCTTACCTACATGTCACACAACGCGCCATACATTTTACCCTCTGCGACCCACAACGTTCCCCCTGACGCAACCCGTCCCATTCTACGGACTCCCACACCACTTTTGACTATGACCGAGTTCGATCCACTGAGGTACTCCTCAGGTTTGGGACGGTCGTAGTCTCATATTTCACTACTAACATGTTCAAGTAAACATCTATCATAGTCTAATCTATTGTTTGCTGCACTTGGTGACATGTTCAAGTAAACATCTATCATGGTCAAATCTAATGTTTGCTACACCTCGTGACATGTTCATGTACACATCTATCATGATACAGTCTATTGTCTACTATGCTTGGTGACACGTTCAACTAATTATTTATCAAAATACACATTATATGATATATTGTCCCTCATGTCAGGAACTAAAGCTTAAGATTTCTTATTAGTTGTGCCATATGGCATCTATTTACAAAATTAGTCAAACAACACACACCAAGACTCAACAGTCCTTCAACAGTCCCACAAATACAGTACCTGACTCCAACGTGACATATTTGCCTCTAAAAGTACATATATATATATATACAACAGAGTAATTATTGTTGATGTATTTAGTCCAACAAAAAATAATATACCTAATTAATCCACATTAAAGTAATTAATTTGAAAGATCAGAAAATTATACACTCAGAACGAGAATCTTCATTATATTATGCATTATACTGGCAGACAAATCGCTGACTTATGACACAATTGAAATCGTTGAGGGACGGATGCCATGCCAGCCTGATGTCCATGCAGTTCTCAGCACCTCCAGTGTTATCAGGCTGTCCGGGGGTCCATTGGTCGGCGGCAATAGGTTGTCCGTTCACCCACTGCCAGACACCCTCGCGTCCTTGGTCCGTAGCACCAATCCAGACAGCACCAGTCCCTGCTAGAACCATATAAAATATATTCAGATTAGTGCTGAAAGAGTTACTGGGAATAACACCCGTCGTTTATCAGCAGTTGTTCTGTGAAATCAAACCAATAATGAGGTATCCAACTGGCTACCAATGGCAGTATCTCCCTAATGAGATCCCTATATTACCCTCACTACCGGTCACACACGCACAGGTAAACAGACCACCGGCAAAACTTTCCTCCTATCGGATCTGAGACGCCCCGATCAGTCTCAGTGATTTGGGTTCCATTCTCAGCGATACTCCAAGACACATTAGAACCGACAGTTTCATTATCAAGCGCCTCAATGTGGTGATCCAGTGATAAAATACCTGCTGAATCCAGGGTTATTGCCCAGCATACATGGAGTACGAATAAACCTACAGCTTCAAGAAACTATTTTCTTTTTGCGTTCATTGTGAAATATTAAATTATTAAAAATTTAATATTTACGGAAATCCGACTTGTTAGGAAACTCTGACTATTGGATGATGAGACTAGAACCTCCGCTCGCATGATGCAAAGTTGAGTGCTGTACAACAAGGCTACCACACCACAAAGTTGAGTACGGTACCTCAGCGCCACCACACCTCAAAGTTGAGCAGGGTATAACTGGTCCACCACACCACAAAGTTAAGAGGTGTACCAATGAGGCTACCACACCACAAAGTTGGGTGCTGTACAACTGCGCAACACACATCACAAACTTTACCACTGTAACACTGCGTCATCACACCACAAAGTTGAGCACTGTTCCAATGGGCCACCACACCACAAAGTTGAGCACTCTGCCACCACACCACAAAATTGAGCACTGTACCACTGGAGCATCACTCCTCAAAGTTATGCACTGTACCACTGGGACACGACACCACAAAGTTGTACACTGTCCCAGTGGGCCACCAGACCACAAGGTGGAGCGCTGTAACACTGTTCAACGACACAATAAAGTTGAGTACTCTGCCACTGTGCAATCCCACCACAAAGATGAGCACTGTATCACTGCGCCACCACACAAAAACGATGAGCACTGCACAACTGCGACACCACAAAGTTTAGCACTGAACCACTGGGTAAACACACCACACAGTTGAGCACTGAATCACTGGGGCCACCACACCACGAACCTGAGAACTTTATCACTGGGCCACCACACAACAAAGTTGAGCACTGTACCACTGGGCCCCAACCCCAAAAGTTAAGAACTGTACCACTGGACCATGACACCATAAAGTTGAGCACTGTAACACTGTGCCAGCACACAACTAGGTTGAACACTGTACTACTAGCCAACCACTCAACAAATACCAATGGGCCACCACACCATAAATTTAGCACTGTACCACTGGGCCACAACATCATAAAGTTGAACACTGTATCACTGCGCCATCACACAAAAACGATCAGCACTGCACAACTGCGCCACCACACCACAAAGTTGAGCACGGTACCAATGCGCCACAACACCACTAATTTAGCACGGTACGACTGGTCCACCACACCTCAAAGTTGAGTGATGTACCACTGGGCAAACACTCGAAAAATATGAGCACTGTATCACTGTATCATCACAGCACAAAGTTGAGTACTGTACCACTAGGCAAACACACCACAAATTTGTGCACTGTTCTACCGGTGAAGCACACCCCTAAGTTGTGGTCTGTACTTCTGTGCTACCACCCCCAAAAAATTGAGCTCTGTACCACTGGGCGACCACACCACAAAGATGAGCACTGAAAACCTGAGCCACCACACCAATTAGTTGAACACTGTACCAGAGGCTACCACCCCACAAAGTTGAACATTGTTCCACTGGGCCACCACCCCACAACATTGAGCTCTGAACCACTAGACCACCTCACCACAAGGTTGAGTACTGTATCACTGCTCAACTACCCTAAAAAGGTAAGCAGTGAACAACTGGGCTACGACACCACAAAGTTGAGCACTGCACAACTTCGCCACAACACTACAAAGTTGAGCACTGTACCAGTGGGCAACGACACCACAAAGTTGACTACTTTACCACTGGGCCACCACGTCACAACGTTGTACAATGTACCACTGGGCCACGACACCAAAATGTTGTGAACTGTAAAACTGGGTCACCATCCCACAAAGATGAACACGGTACCACTAGGCGACCACATAACAAAGTTGAGCACTGTTCCACAACACACAATCCCCAAACGTTTAGCACTGTACCTCTGGGCCACCACTCCACAAAGCTGAACACTGTAGCTCTGGGCCAACACCCCACAAAGTTAAGCACTGTTCCACAGGCGACAATGTTGAGTACTGTGCCATTTGGAGACTACTCTCTCAAGGTTGAGCACTGTAGCAATGAGCCACCCCCACAAAGTTGAGTTCTGTACCATTGTACCACAACACAACAAAGTTTAGCACTGTACCAATAGGACACCACATAACAAAGTTGAGTACTGTACTACTGGGATACCACACCACAACGTTGTTCACTGTACCACTGTGCCACCACACCACAAAGTCTAGAACTGTACCACTGGGCAACCACCCAACAAAGTTGAGCACTGGATAACAGGGCCAGAATACCACAAGGTTGAGGACTGTACCACAGCGTCCCTACAACACAAAGTTGAGCATTGAGCACTGCGCCACCAAACCACAAAGTTTAGCATTGTACCACTGAGCCACCACCTTACCTTGAGGTACTTCCGGGGGTTAGCGTCTCCGCGGCCCGGTCGTCGACCAGGCCTCCTTCTCAAAGCACACCTCAAAGTTGAGCCTGTACCACTAAGCGACCACAACACAAAATTTAGCACTGCACCACAAAGCTGAGCACTGTACCACTGCTCAAGCACATAACAAGGTTGAGCACTCTACAAATGCGCCTCCACACCACAAATTTTAGTACTGTACCACTGTGCCAACACACCACACCGTTGTGTAATGTACCACTAGGCCACAACACAAAAAAGTTGTGCACTTTACTACTGTGCCACCAATCTACAAAGTTGAGCAATGTACCATTTAGCCACGACCCCACAAAGTTGAACACTGTACCACAGGCCACCACCCCACAAAGTTGAACACTGTACCACTGGGTAACCACTTCCCAAAGTTGAGCACTGTACCACTGAACCACTACTCCACAAAGTTGTGCACTGTACTACTTTGCTACCGTCTCATTAATTTGAACACTGTACCACTGGGCCATGACACCACAAAGCTGAGCACTGTAACACTGTGACACCACACAACAAAGTTTAGTACACTATAACTGGGCCACCACTCCACAAAGATGAGCTCTGTACCACTCGACCACCACCCCCACAAAGTAGAGCACTGTACCACTGTGCCATTACACCTCAAAGTTGAGTACTGTACCACAGGGCCACCACACAACTGAGTTGAGCATTGTACCACTGGGACACCACACCCCAAAGGTAAGCACTGTAATACAGGCCACCACTTCACAAAGTTAAGCACTGTACCACTGGGCCACAACCCAAGAAAATTAAGCAATGGGATACCATCCCAAAACGTTGAGCACTTTACTACTAGGCCACTATCCCAAAACGTTGAATACTGTACCACTGGGCCACAACCCAAGAAAATTAAGCACTGTACCAATGGGATACCATCCCAAAACGTTGAGCACTTTACTACTAGGCCACTATCCCAAAACGTTGAATACTGTACCACTGGGCAACCATTCGCTAAAGTTGAGCACTGTACCACCACTCCACAAAGTTGTGCACGGTACTACTTTGCTACCACCCCATTAATTTGAACACTTTACCACTGAGCCACGACACAACAAAGTTGTGCACTGTACCAATAGGCCTCCACCCCACAAAGTTGAGCACTGTACTACTCGGCCACCACCCCACAGGTTGAGCACTGTACCAATGGGGCACTGCTCCACAAAGTTGAGCACTGTACTACTCGGCCACCACCCCACAGGTTGAGCACTGTACCAATGGGGCACTGCTCCACAAAGTTGAGCACTGTACTACTCGGCCACCCCCCACCCCCACAAAGTTGAGCACTGTACCAATGGGCATCCACCCCACAACATTAAGCACTGTACCACTGGGCCACCACCCCATAAAGGTGAGCACTGTACCACCACCCCGTAAAGGTGAGCACTGTACCACCACCCCATAAAGGTGAGCACTGTACCACTGGGCCACCACCCCGTAAAGGTGAGCACTGTACCACCACCCCGTAAAGGTGAGCACTGTACCACCACCCCGTAAAGGTGAGCACTGTACCACCACCCCGTAAAGGTGAGCACTGTACTACTGGGGGACGACCCCACACAGTTGAACATTATACCACTGGGGCATTACACAACAAATCTGAGTGCTGAACCACTTAGCCACCTCTCCACAAAGTTGAGAAACTATACCACAAGGTCATCACAACACAAAGTTGAGTGCTGCACCACTGGGCTAACACACCACATAGTTGATCACTCTTCCACAGGCCACCACCCCCCACAAAGATGAGTACTGTACCACTGGGCCACCACACCACAAAGTTGTACACTGTACCACTGGGCCACCACACCACAGTGTTTAGCATTGTACCACTGGGCAACCTCACCACAAAGTTGTGTGCTGTACCACTGGGCCACCACACCACAAAGTTGAGCTCTGTACCACTGGGTCATGACACCACAAAGTTGGGAGCTGTACCACTGGGTCATGACACCACAAAGTTGGGAGCTGTACCACTGGGTCATGACACCACAAAGTTGAGAGCTGTACCACTGGGTCATGACACCACAAAGTTGAGAGCTGTACCACTGGGTCATGACACCACAAAGTTGGGAGCTGTACCACTGGGTCATGACACCACAAAGTTGAGAGCTGTACCACTGGGTCATGACACCACAAAGTTGGGAGCTGTACCACTGGGCCACCACACCACAAAGTTGAGAGCTGTACCTCTGGGTCATGACACCACAAAGTTGGGAGCTGTACCACTGGGCCACCACACCAC